TAATTGCTACAGCCGTCTGTCCATTCAATTTTACCATTCTGAGAAAGTTCAGAAGTACAGGTCTGTTTACAGTACATTTCTATAGCATTTTAAAGTTGTTCTTAATTATTTGCTTGTTTTTTGATCTGTACAGCTTCATGAGATAAACAGGCCTGGCCTGATACTATGTTTTAACATATGTAAATCCACAGAGGTTTCCAACTAGAGTTTCACCTAGTCTGACCAACTTCTTGGTCTTTACTCCATTTCCTGTTTAAACCTATTCAAAGGAAAGTGGTTAAGTTTAGCTTTAAGTACTAATTAACTGCTGGAGTCGCATTTATTTGATGTCACATGATTGTGAAGCCTTACAGTATTTACCATATTTGCATGGCAATATCTTTTCATTAAAGTGGACTCAAGCCTAGAATCATCCTAACATCATTTATTTATTTATTTATTTTTGCCATTTATGCATTTCTAAGAAATGTTCTTCAATTGTAACAGTCAGGACTTTATCTTAACGTGTACACCCATCAGAAGTCACCTTGGGTACCACCAAAGGCGAATGTGTCAAGACTTCAGGTAACTCGGCCTCCTGAATTACCTGTCCCTATATAATTTCTCTCACAAATGGTTCTATTTTCGCTTTCTGCAATAACAAACCTCTTTTATTTTTACCCCTGACAACTTCTGCATCCTCTTTATTATATTTATAGTCTCCAATATAATCCTTTTCTATTCCCCAATTTATTATCAGCTTCATGGTCCCCATCATAGCAGCGTCAGATTCTGTTCTAAATCCCTGAGCTGAATGAACCCACCCTCCTCTCAGTTCCCTGAGGGGGGCCATCAGGAGCTCTGTTTGAGACACTAAGACACAGCAGGGCAAAGTGAGATGAGCTCAGTTGGTCAAAGTGGTGGTTTAGGGCCGTCAAGTCGGTTCCGGCTCATATTGACCCTGTATAGGGTTTCCAAGGCATTCAATCTTCACGGGAGAAGAAAGCCTCCTCTTTCTCCTGTGGAGCAATTGGTGGGCTTGAACCGTGGACCCTGTGGAGCCACCATGTTCCTGGTCAAGATTTCATGGCTTGAAGTAGCAGAGTTGAGTTTGTTGTTAAGTGCCACTGAGTCAGTTCCGACCTACAGTGACCCTTGTATAGGGTTTCTGAGGAATGAATGGTGAGCTTGAACTGCCGACCTTATGGTTCAAACTGACTTTGCAGTCCAGCGCGTTAACCCACAGCGCCACACCAGGATACACAGAGTTGAGTTTAAACCCTGATAATCTGGCTCTAAAGCACGTGGTGCCAACTTGCACTCTGAACTAACTGCTAAACTACCACTGGTGTTAAGTGTTAGCGACCCTACACAGTTTCCAAGGAGCAGCTGGTAGGTCTGAAGGGCTGACCTCTCAGTTAGCAGTTCAGTGCTTATACTACACAGCTACTGTATTGTTGTTGCTAAGTGCCATCGACTCATAGTGATCCTGTAAAGGGTTTTCAAGGGATTGGCTGGTAGGTTTGAAACACTGACCTTGTGGTTAGCAGTTCAGTGTTTATACCACAGAGCCACAATATTCGCTTTGCTACTAAATATTGATTTTCAACACTACCCATTAGACTTGTCACTGTAGTAAACAACTTACTTAACTCACTGCCTAATAGTGAGTTTCTGTGACACACTTTAAAAAAATAAAGTTCCTATCCCTACTAACCATACCAGGAGTCTTGGTGTGGCATTGTAGGATAAGCACTGGACTGCTAACTGCAAAGTTGGTGGTTCAAATCCATCAGCTGCTCCTTGGAAACCCTATAAAGTGTCACTATGAGTCAGAACTTCTCAATGGCACTTAAAAACAATGACAACACTAAACACATCCATTATCTGATTTTCACTTCCTCTCAGAGAATGGTCCCAAATGATTCAAATAGATTCCACGCCCCCCTCCTTTTTGGATCACAATTATCTTTATTACTGACCTAAGAGCAGCCTGACAAACTAGCTTCATTAGCTTCCTTCTACACTGTCAGCTTGAGGACTAGTGTGCGCCTGACCCAGGCCATTGTTTTCAATAGCCTCATATGGATGCGAAAGCTGGACAGTGAATAAGGAGGATCGTAGAAGAAGAATTGATGCCTTTGAGTTGTGGTGTTGGAGGAGAATACTGAAAGTGCCATGGACTGCCAAAAGAACCAACAGATCTGTTTTGGAAGAAGTGCAGCCAGAGTGCTCCTTGGAGGCCAGGATGGCTAAGCTTCGTCTCTCCTACTTTGGACATATTGTCCGGAGGAAACAATCGCTGGAGAAGGATGTCATGCTGGGTAGGGTGGAGGGTCAGAGAAAAAGAGGAAGACCCCCAACAAGATGGATCAGCCAGGTGGCATCATTGATGGACTCAAGGGTGGCAGCGGTAGTGAGGTTGGCCCAGGATCGAACATTGTTTCGTTCTGCTGTGCATGGGGTCGCTATGAGTCGGTTCCGACTCGATGGCACCTGACAACAACAACCCTACTCTCTTACCAGAGAAAGCCCAAAATTTCTGAGTTAGGGTACTAAGTATGCACTGTGATTGAGTACTAAACATGTTCAATGTTGAAACAAAAAAATCTGTCCATAAGAAGCAATGCCTGCCTGAAGTCAACACTCTGGTGTCTACTAGTTAGTGAGACACTTTTCAATGTAACATTGTTAATATTCGGTTTAGTGTCGCCTAAAATACAAGTTGTGTCTACCAAGCTTTTTGTTTAGACTTACCTGACATGTTTTGCTTGGGATCATTCCAGTTTATTATCCATTTAAAATTTAAGAACATCTGTGAATGATCTAACCAATTATCTCAGAGTAAAGCCACTGCCATCAAGGGGACTGACTCACAGCAATCCTACAGACAGAGCAGAACCGCCCCATCGGGTTTCCAAGGCTATGGTCTTTATAGAAGCTGACTGCCACGGCTCTCTCCCATGGAGCAGCTGATGGCTTGAACCACTGACCTGTTAGTTAACAGCTGAGAGTTGGAACTAGTGCACTCGCCTTCAGATTTTAAACAGAATCTGTGATACATACTCAAATTCTTTTTAATTGTTTAAAAGTTAAAATAGAAAGGTGAATGCTATTTACCACATAATGCATTAAAAAATCAACTATTTAAGGAAGTAAGGATTGTTGTTGTTGTTGAGTGCCTTCGAGTGGGTTCCGACTCAGTGACCCTGCAGAAGGCTTCTGAGGAACGGTTTTGGAGTTTGAACCGCCATCCTTTCAGTTCAAACCGACCTTGCAGTCCAGTGCTTACCCTACAGCGCCACACCAAGACTCCAAGTTAGCATTATTATACAAAAAACTTATTGATACCTAAACATAACATCGGTTTATAAATTAAGCCAAGAAAATGAAAGTTACAAGCTATTCTCAGTTTTATAAACTTGATTTCAATAATATCATTTTCAGTCAGACCTAGAGTTCAGATACTCAAATAATGTATCTTTTTTTTATCTTCCATGGTAGAAAAAATACTAAATAAAGAAGTCCTGGAATGCAATTCCTACAATCTTTCTGTTCCAAGTCTGTGTAAATTCCCTAATTTGCTGAGCTCATGAGTGTGGCCTGGAAATGAACTCACTCTGGCCCCACAGTTAGGACCTTGTAAATTCCTTCCCTAACCAGCCTTACAAAGCCTCCCTGGTTCCATGACTGGGTGCTTCAGCTAGAGGGGAGTGCGGTGGCCATATCCACACACACCAGTAGTCAAGTGTTGAATGAGCTGGTCAGTTCCCCTGATGTCCTGCTTCTTCACTTTGGACCCTGACAATCTCTGAGGAAGCCTGGACTCTGTTTCCATCTTGATGTCCTACAGCCTTCCTTCCCCCATCTTCACTGCCATCTTTTTTCCCAACAAAGGTTTAGCTGAAATGCTTTTCTAATGATAGTAAGCTTTTTAAAGTAAATACTATTTCTACCGTAGTCCTTCCTCTTCCTACTTCTCTCACACCACCCACCCTCAGAATTAAAAATACTTTCATGAAGGATATTTTAATCTTCGATCTCTACTCCCACAATGTGCGAAGTACTGGGATTCTCTGAATATGTCAATGTTTGTTCAACCAAAAGAACGAAGAAAGAGAAAGAGAGGGAGAGAGGGAGAAAGAAGGAGGGAGGGAGGGAGGACAGAAGGCCATAAAGTCCCTTCTATGAAAGCTCGTTTATTCTTGTTCTAACTCTGGTAAGCTTCATTGTATTTGATTTCTAGTTAGAATACATTGATATGGCCCCATCATATTCAGATTCACCAGCATATTCCTTAGTGAAACAGAAACATAAGTGCTATTACTGAGTAACTAGCTGTACTAACTTTGCAAACACCTCATTTAATCCTCATGATAAAACTTGCTGTTGTCGTTATGTGCCGTCAAGTCAGTTCCAACTCATAGTGACCTTGTTTAGGGTTTTCCAAGGAGCAGCTGGTGGGTTTGAACCACTAACCTTGTAATCCAAACCAACTTTTCTGTTCAATGCTTATCCTACAGCACCATAATTCTGAGACTGTATGATTCTTGTTTTCTATCTGGAGACACTGAGGCTCACAGGAATGAAGTTACTTGCCCAGGGTGACACTGGAGAGACATGATTCAAAGTCTGGACTGCCCCCAAATCAGTAATTGCTGAATTATATCACACTGCCACAAATACTGACGCAGTGGCAGCAGCAGTGAGCTCAAATGTAACAATGATGGTGGAGATGCTGCAGAACCCGACAGTGTTTCGTTTTGTTGTGCACAGGGTCACTGTGAGTTGAAACTGATTTGATGGCACCAGACAACAGCAGCCACAAATACATTTCATGGGTACTTTCATAGATTCTTCATAGCCAGAATCCAATCACACTCCTAATTCTGCCTTCCACACAGGAAAAACTGTAATTTTATTTTATAAAATGACTAATTGTGAGCTTGTGTACAAAAACATGTATTCAAATCATCCTTACGTGAATCAATAAAAACAAAAAATGTTTTTATACAACTTACCATTTAACATCAGCAGATTGTCAGTCCCTGGATGTGGATAGTTCAATCGACCTTTAAGACAAGACAGAAAAGGAAGGATTGAAGATAAGGGAGCTATCGGAAAAAGGCCTGGGGGGTGGACGATGAGGGAGGTGGAAAGGGAAACACTGAACACAGTACTTTTCTTAAGAACTAAAAAGTTAATCTTTAACTCCAAGCATATTAACTAAAAATATCTGACTTAAGTTGAGAACAAACGAAAAAGGGTCAGGCCTCGTTCCTAGATCATAAGATCACGACGTGATGTGGGGCAATGCTAACAGAATAAAGCCGATTTGTTTTTGTGAAGTATTAAAACAATGTAGGGTATACCCTGCCTTTCAGACTTTAATGTACAATGCTGTGCTTAATATTTTCAAAGCTGTTTGCGATGTTCTGATCTATGACTATTTTTCCAAAAAAATACAACACTTGAAGGAAAAAATTCCTATTTTTAAATTAAAAACAACGAACAGATTAAATCCCAGGTGGTTTTATGTAGTTATGTATATAGCTTAGTGAAAAATTTTTAGATGCATCATTGCAAATATAATTTGTTCAAAGTGCACTAATGACTTAAAATGGAAACCTAGAAGTTGAAGAGCACAGTATTTCCTTGGGATCACTCTTCATTGACACAAATGCAGCACAACTGCAGCACTGCAGACTGCCGGGAAGAGAAGGGGTAGCCACAACTCATACTGGGCTTTGAAAGAATTTCTTCAGCATCAAAACAGGGCTTCCAAGTGGCTCTTCTGAGTTCAGCCATGGCTGAGGAAGTGCAATCAGAAGACACAAAAAGTTTTATAATAAGGGTAAACTGGAAAGGGAAAAAATACAGGCTGAAGGGAGTCCTGCTAGAAAGTGAATCTTCCTCTCTGAAAACCAGGGCAGCATACACATTGTCTAGCAACTGAAAATCTTGTCCACTGATTCTGAGCAAAGATGGTGGCCAACGGCGCCAATGTGAATGTGTATGCCACTCTCTGTAGTCCTGAAAGGACTCGCCACGCCTCTTCTGAATCTCTCATTCTAAGGCTTCAACCCGTAACTTTTTCCATTCTGGTTCCTGTTACCAAAATTCCAAAAATTCACGTCTATTTAGGTTTCAGTTAGTCAGCCATGACCAAACTGGTTCACAGTCCTAATCAAAATATTCACGTGACTAGAACACCAACAGTGAGAATGCTCATTGTCTTGTGCCCATTAAAATAGAGTCATATAATGCCTGAAATTGTTGACAATTAGAAATGTACACTAAAATCCACTTAGAAAACTGCTAAAAATGAACTGTCGCTGATGTTGCATTTTAGCAACTTCCAGAACAGCCCCTTTAAACCTGGCGTCAAACCAATTTAACACTGCGATGCTAAACAAGGGCCTTGTAAATAGCATAAAGCAACCAAATCTGTTGTCTAGGGAATTTTGACCTAAGCAGGAAACAAACAACAATGTTGCTCAAAGACGCTGCCAACTTTACTGCTTTGAATGTGTGCTGTGCTCTCCAGAGTCCTGCCAGTAATCAGCCCCATCAGGATCCTGAAACTTGGGAGGAAAGAATGTGGCAGGGCATTAGGAGAGCAACATTACTACCAGCAAGACTCATGCAAGGCCCCTGTGTAGGACAGCAATTACTGAACCGTTGTGAAGTCCTGCTTTACGGAGATGCCATGAGAACATAGAATGCACTGCTGCCACATGGATGACCAATGAACGCCCAAATGCATTTGACATTAGGAAGGAATCCATATTAAACTGCATCCACCTGTACCACGGAGTCCTGGTGTGGCGCTGTGGGTTAATGAGCCAGACTGCAAAGCTGTTTGAACGGCAAGGTTGGTGGTTCAACCTTACCAGCTGCTCCTTGGAAACCCTACACAGGGTCACTATGGGTTGGAATTGACTCAACGGCACTTCACAACAACAACCTTTACCACAGGGCCTCTTCAAAATGTTGAAGAGCAAACATGTCAGCTTCAGGACTAAGGTGCACCTGACCCATGCCATGGTATTTTCAGTAACCTCATATGCATGTGAAAGCTGGATAGTGAATAAGGAAGACCATAGAAGAATTGATGCATCTGAGCTATGGTGTTGGAGGAGAATACTTAAAGTACTGTGGATTTCTAAAAGAACAAACCTATCTGTGTTGGAAGAGTTCAGCCTTCGAGGCCAGGAGAGCCAGACTTAATCTCTCATATTTCAGACATATTAACAGGAGGGACCATGTCCTGGAGAAGATTACGTTTGGTAAAGTGGAGGCTCAGAGAAAAAGATGGACTGGTACAGTCGTAGCAGCAGTGGGCTTAACATAGAACTGTGAGGTTGGCACAGGACTGGGCAGTGTTCCTTTCTACTGTGTATAGAATCCCTGTGAGTTGGTACCGACTTGGTGGCACCTAACAACAACAAACTGTTACCATCTCAGCAAGTCCTCTAACCTATAAGGGTCCTTTACTATTTTCAAATACCCTATGCAAAGGGATACTGGGTGGTACCAAGTGGGCTTCAAAGAGTTCATGGAAAAATATAATTAAAAGATAATGGAATGTTTTCACAAAGTGTTTGAAGGCCCCTCATATATAGCCTCCTAGAGTGAGTGGATTCCAACTTATAATGACCCTATACAGAATCGACTCGCCAGCAGTGGGTTTTACAAATGTACACACATATACCTTTTGCTGTCAAGTTGATTCCCACTCATAATAACCCTAAAAGACAGCAGAACTGCCCATAGGGTTTCCAAGGTTGCAATCTTTGCAGAAGCAGACTGCTACATTTTCTCCTCTAGTGTCTTTGGTGGGTTTGAACCACAGGTCTTTTGGTAAGCAGCTGCGCCACCAGGGCTCTTTCCCATTCACATGTGAAAGTATAAACAGAAGGCACAGAAAGAAAACACCAGGAAGCTGAGCTTTCCTAGAGCAGATTTTAACAGCATGAAGCATGACTCTGAAGTCTCATAGCTTTTTATCAAATCAGGTTTATTTCTAACCATCTGGTCGTAGATGCCCAAATTTAGACAATGATTTGGAACTTGGGAAAATTATTATTTCTGACTTGAGATTTAAAAAGAAAAAACCTACAAAAGTGGCAGCCAGGAATGATCTGCTCAGTATAACAGGACGATTAAAAGCTATCCAGCTCACATTGTGCTGAAGATACAGGTAGGAGTAAGATATGGTCTTGGCTTATGATGGACTAAGAGAGACAGACTCAACTGCACAATTTCAACCAAATCTGTTAAGTGCAACATGAGTGACATATAGTAGGTTGTCATTGTGGTTAGCTGCCATTGGTGGATTGCAACTCTAGTAGAACTGCTTCATGGGGTTTTCAAGGCTGTGACCTTTCAGAAGCAGATTTCCAGGCTTGTCTCCCAAGGCCCTTCAAATCACCCTGAAGGTGGTAATCTTTTGGGTAGAATGTTTTAAAAAAAAAACACAAAGAGGTACTTAACCAAGATGAGGCATTCAGGAAAGACTTCCTGGAAAAGTAAATTAAGCAAGGCCTTAAGCCTGAATGAAACCAATTTTCATCTTGAAAGACACTCAACTTTCGAGTGCCACATGATTTATCCACTAGTAGGTACAGAGTTTATTTATCCTGAGATACTGGTAACAAGATACATTCACCAATAATAGTCTTATGACATCCTGTCTCTGAATAGACTGAAAATACGGAAGATGCGGACAGTTCAAAAGACAGATGTTACTGTTGTTACTAAGTACAGTCGAGTCAATATCAACTCATGTTGAACCTATTCAGGGTTTCTGAGGGGCAGCTGTAGCTCATCCTAAAGCTCCACACAAGGACTCCTGAAAGATACCTATTTACAAATACGTTCTAAAACATAGTTCCCCAAAAAGGAAAATCTCACAAGGTAATTGTTAACATATCCAAAGTGATATAAATGAATTCAAACTCACTTTTAGATTAGCCAATTAACTTTGTTGTGTTGTTAGGTGCCATGGAGTCCATTCTGGTGCATAGCGACTTTCTGTACAACAGAACAGAACACTGCCTAGTCCATCCTCACAATCACTGCTGTGTTTGAGCCATTGTTACAGCCACTGTGCCAATCCATCTCATTAAAGGGCTTCCTCTTTTTTTGCTGACCCTCTACTTTTCCAAGCATGATGCCCTTTTTTCCAGGGGCAGATCCACTTCTGATAACATGCCCGAAATACAGGAGACAAAGTCTCGTCATCTTCTCTTTTAAGGAATATTCTGGTTGTACTTCTTCCAAGACAGATTGGCTCATTCTTCTGGCAGTTCATAGTATATTCAAAATTCTTTGCCACCATCATAATTCAAAGGCATTCATGTTTCTTTGGTCTTCCTTATTGTCAAGTTTTCATATGGATATGAGGCAAATGAAAATACCATAGTTTGGGTCAGGCATAACTAAGCTGTCAAAGTGACATCCTTACAGCAGATTTACCTAACACCACACGTTCTTTCATTTCCTGGCTGCTGTTTCTAGGATGTTGATTCTGGATAAAAGTAAAATGAAATCTTTGGCAGCTTCAATTTTTTCTCGGTTTGTCAGGCTGCGGCCTATTGGCCCTATTTGTGAGGATTTTTGTTTTCTTTATGTTGAGGTATAATTCACATGGGAGTATTGACCTTCATCAGTAAGAGCTTCAAGGCCTCTTCACTTTCAGCAAGCAAAGATGCATCATCTGCATATCACAGGTAATTAATGAGTCTTCCGTCAATCTTGGTGCTGTTTTCTTCTTTGTAAAATCTAACTCTTCAGATTATTTGCTCAACATATAGACTGAATAAATACGGTGAGAGAATGCAACACCGACACACACCTTTCCTGATTTAAACCATGCAGTACCCCCTTGTTCTGTTCGAATGGCTACCTTCGTCTATATACAGGTTCAACATGAGCAAAGTGTGAAATTCCAATTTTTAAAATAATGTTATCAATAATTTCTTAATATACACACAGTTGAATGCCTTTGCATAGTTAATAAAATACAGGTAAACACACTTACAATATTCTCTGCTTTCTGTCAAGATTT